TTATATGGAAGCAGGTTCAGGTAGTGTAGATTCAATTTTGTTCAAATCATGACCCCCGGGGGTAGGGCGGGGCCAAAATGGTCGACCAAAGTTTTACATAGAAATATATAGAAAAATTCTTTAAAAATCTTCTTCTCAAGAATGACAAAGCCATAATTCATCATATTTACATGGAAGCATGCTCAAGTAGTGAAGATTCAATTTTTTTTTCAAATCATGACCCCCCGGGGTAGAGCAGGACCAAAATGGCCGACCAAATTTTTTAAAGATATATATAGGAAAATTCTTTAACAATCATTTTCTAAAAAATAGCAAATCCATGATTGGTCTTGGGACTACTTTTGGATTTAAACTTTACAATAAAAAGCCATTTTGTACTTTTTCCTACCCTTAGTGCTCAGGTGAGCGATGTGGCCCATGGGCCTCTTGTTTTTTTTTTTCGCTTCTTTTCTATAAACGCTTTAAGATGTTTGACTGATTTTTGATACATAAGGCTATATTGATGTATTACTGATAACATTTCGATATTGTTCTCCTTCAATAATTAATGAAGAAAAGATTGCCTTTTTTAATTTTTTTTTTTACGATTTTCAGTTCTTTATTTTAAAACATTAACTTTGCAGATATTGAGCTGTTCTTGTTTTTTTACAAGTTTGTCTACCTTGATATGTTATAGATCCAGTTTAGATTGCATTCTCGTTCAATGATTGTTAACTAAATTACGGAATTTTCAAGTTTTAATGGGAACCAGATAACACAGTGTTACCGGTAGGGGACTAGTATTAGTAATACAATGCTCTAGAAATGCTTGTTATATTTTCACACTGAGAGGTAAGTAAAACAGTTTTAATAATATTCCTACTACTAATGTTTATGGCTAACACCTGCTTCTAAAAATTCTCATGACCGTCGTTACTTGCATTTATTTCGTTATTATTGGGCAATTGTTGCGTTAAGGCGATAAAGTGTTCCAATATAAATTGGATTATGCAGGGTTTTTTTTTTAGATTTGAATGTTGCGTGAACATGTTTCAGAATATTTAAACTTTTTAAATCACGTGATTCGTTGGAAAAAAAATATAATACGGAATTAATGTAATGATTAGGAGTAAAAAGAATTTTTTTGAATATTTCACCACAATATCAAAAAACAGAATATAAGATCTTTTCTTCTAAATTAGATCTTAGAAATTATTTAATAGTATAGTTACATAGTATATATATATATATTTTTCAATATCATAGCTCAAAATCTTCAATATAGGCCGAACAAATAAAGGTTATTTTGATCAGTACTGACAGTAGGATCGAACAGGTAGAATAGTTCCCGATGTGCATGTCAATGGTGGGGCACACCTGGCTACATGTAATGTCGCGATGAATTGACCGCAGTTCTTTGTCACACTAGTACATAAACTAGTGGGAGGGAGTTACATGTAATTCATAGTCTTACGGAAAGTTTAATTATAAGCTTAACTATTACATTAATTTTATTGCATCGATTTAAAGAATAAAATGTATTCGTAAAAACGTAGTCAAAAATACATCTACTGCTTTGTTTTGTTTTCCGACATACATTTAGACGGTTACTTACATTGAACATGTATCTGTGGGGATGTTGGTAGGTACTTCAGTTAACCCTTCATAACTACAGTCTACATCTGTCCCATTACATCGGGTACTCCTCCTACAGCTACAGCCACTAGGACAGGCCTCAGTCACAGGTCCGTACATCAGGACACAGAGAACTAACGTCCACACAATCATAGACATTCTTATAATACAAAGATATTCACATCTATGATTTCTATATCATACAACACATTTACAAATCAGTCATGAAAAATATTTTCTCAGTGTTCGCGTGTAGTACAGTGAAATGAGGAAGCAGTTCAGATTTGACACATCTTCACACATGCACAAGGAAAAGCCACTCCCCTTTTCCTTTTAAGGGGGATGTACGGCCACCTTTAGTGCAGTGAGAACAAAATGTAAACATTTCTTCTAATGGCTAAAGTACATTATATTTTGATCAAATTTTAAGTCTTTATGATAAAGATACAAAAAATATGCATACCTGAATGCATGTTGTGCATATATAATCTATACTTTTGCAGAAAAATGCTTTTGATGTGCTCCTTAGAACTGCGCAGCTACAGAATTCAGCAGAGCCTTAAAAAATCAAAAAAAAAAATACGCAAACTGTGCATTAATGTTCTTTCTACAACCATTTGTTGAGAAAATGCCTAAATTTTGCACTTTTAAATGATAATTTCAAGTTTAAAACAAAGTATCGTTGTCTTCAAAAAGAGTGTAAAGAACCATGAAAGTAGTTCATTGATAGCAGCACGTGGTCTCTTTTTAGCACAGAATTTTGTTTTCCAGACCTCTTCTTAATATGGAGGGACATAACAATCTTTAAACGTAGAAGAGAATTAGAGTTGCAAAATGTTTCAAATAATATGAACACTTTTAAAGAGGGATTGTGTTATAGTCTGGCTTGAAGTAATTTATTTAGTATTATTATCGAACAGTTGTTAAATAGTGTACGTATTGATATAAACTCTTTGATTCCAGGTAAGGAAAAATGAGCACCATCAAAGTTAAAAATTAAGAGTTTGTAAGTTTGCCACAGATAACAGATATAATATCTATCAAAAGTTTAATTATCACCAATGAAACAAAGAAATTAAACACATAAAATCGATATGAATGACCTTGTGTTAGTACCTACTAGTACGGGGGGTGATCAAAAAGTTCTCGAACTATCTCTTTATCTACAAAACCACAATTTAGATTAGAAACAAATTTGGGGCACACACAAGTTCTATAAATAGCATATGCTGAATAAAGTTTTGCTCACAATGTGAAAATGACGTCATTATGCAGGTACTTGTGACGAAAAATGGTTGTCTCAGTAGAACTCGTTCAACAAACGACTAAAATATTTATGGTATATCTTAAAAATGCCTTTGAAGTAGCGTATAAGAATGTGTTCATAGTTTTTTTAGACAAATGAATTCCTAATAATTAAATCAATGATTGGATTGATCGTTTTTAGTGAAGGAAGGCAGATGGTTGAATATGATACTTGTTATGTTGCCCGGTGAAAGCAAGTTTGAAAAGGGGTGTGTTTTTAATTAAGCAATATGCCTTCAAAGATCTCCAATTTACACTTTGAGAAATACTTGAATATTTCAACAATAATATAACTATCAAATACCTAAGATATCGTTTACTTTTTGATCAACCCCCCCCCCCCCCTTACTCTGTCAAATAAACATTTACAATTTTTATTACAGCAGAGCAACATTTGAAAAGGAATGAAATCATTCAGAGTGGGTTAGGAGATTTACTGAATAAAAAACTTTTTTCTATTTGCCCATTTTGTTAAAATTACAAGTTTACAGAGTAAAGAAAAAAAATCAACATAATTAAATATTTTATATCATCTTTAAAATGACGTTTGGTGGTCCTCCCAACTCTGGGAAAAATTGTTGGGTCCGTATTTATAGGTGAGAAAAAAATTCCTTAAAATTTAAACATATTTATTGACGGAAGAAAAAGAAATCGTGTAATTGGATGTAAAATAAAATTGAGTCGGGCCATTTCTAGGCAGTAGATCGGGAGAGAGGGCAAACAAATATTTTTATATAACAAATGGTCTTATAAGGCTAGTACATGTTCCATCACATACTTAGTAATGCAAATTTTTTTAATCTTTGGCACTATTTTGAAAAAAGAACACAAGGATTTTCGAGGGGGGAGGGGGGGGTAGCCTCTCATTTTTTTTTTGCGATGATAGACATAGCATATGCAATGGATCTTTCTTTACAAACATTGTGCTTGCTTCTAAATTTCAAAGAAACAATTCAATATATTTTATCAAGCTTTGTTTGTTCAATGAGCGAGAGCTTACAACGTTGTCAACATAATGAGACATGATGCGTTTTTATGTCCAAACATTACTCCATACAATGTGTGGGTCATTGCAAACAATCAAGCTATTTATGTGAGGTGCCTGAAGGAAATCCTATAACTGCCTATTTTTTCTATCTAACTGCTAAACAAAATAGACATATGTACCAACTTTTCGAATGTAAGACATGAAAAAAGACCCGACGTAAACACATATGTTTAGGAACATTTTTTATCTTTTTTCTTGAGTTTTAAAGAAACCAACAAATTATCGAGACTTGTTCCATGAAAAATTAAATATAATCATGGTAATAAACGCATCTATCCAAAGCAGATATATGCACATGCCAACCACGTGCTCAGTGTAATAATATGAACGAGGAAACTCGAGCTGTAAACAGAACAGTTTTTCCCGATTTGCTGGAGTGGGGTTAAAATCGCGTTTTTTTCATTAATCAGACGAAGCGATGCAACAAATAAAAGTAGTAAGTAATTTTACCTAATGATTATAACTTAGTAATTTCTTGTCTTGATATTATTAGGGTTGCATTTATTCTAAAATCAATGTTATTCGAACTCTGTGTGACAGAGGAATGGCGGATGAAATAAACACATGGCCTCAGGAAGACACCCATATGAAAAATCAAATTTTCAAGAATTATGGATAATGACAAGAAAAAAGCGAAACAAATGGTTGTAGCCCTATTATCAATGAATCAAACTAACACCATTTTCAATGCATTTTTCATCTCGTGAATGCTGTAGCTGCGCAGTTCTAACATGATTAATTTCCTCCTAATTAAAACAAAATAAACTTAATTATTTACTTATTTTTGGTCACTAACAGTATGTAATTAGTGCATTAGCACTTTGAGGAACTTTGGGCTAGTTTAGTAGAGTATTAAGCGCATTCTTGGTATTTCTTATTTCACACCAGACTAGATTCAATATGGCTTGTACATCCCCCTTAAGGAAGAGACCATGAACAGACAAAGTCCTGTTTTCTTAGAGAACATAAGCAATCTGCACACATTTTCTGTGTTGAATATTAAATAAAAACCTGCATATTCATGACTGGTTTCCTTAACTCATTGAATATGTCTGACAGAGTTTAAAATATGGTTTTATATCTTGTTTACCCACATATTATTCCATAAAACACTTATTTGGGGCAAGCTAAACTTATAAAGCATCATTAAAGAAAGTTATCTCAATAAATCTGAAGATATCTATCATTTAATAGATCTTGACCTTAAATTATGTTTTAGATATACAAATCAATCTCACAACGTTTAAGTGAGGCAGACAACGTTACGTTGCATTCATTCTCTCTCAACTTCCGATGCAGTGTCGACGTTCCTTCCTCTTACAGACACTACTACAGCGATTTTTGACATTAGGTAAAATATATATATATTCCCAAAATTGATTGTATTCTGTCTTTGTCCTTATTCGAGAATGTTTAACTCATAAAAGACAAACACCGACATCTTACGAACGAACGTAGCCAAAAACGGGGATCAGTCATTGTAGTCTATTGTATTCATTGTTGGATTATTGAATTCTTCAATTTTATTGGGATTTCGATAGATAAAATTCCCACAAGATACCTCAAATCCACGTCTTGTCGTAGTCGCTACCGTGACGCTACAATACATTTCAATGGACATTTAAATGAGCAAAGGGGTTCAAGAAGGGAAATGAAAGGAAAATTTTAAAAAATATCATCCTGTGGCATGTAATAAACAAGAGGCCCATGGGCCACATCGCTCACCTGAAAAGCTTTTACCATTCTGTTCTTTACCAGATTTCCTCCTTGTAATACATAATGCATCCCTACCCTACCCCACTGATCATAATTTAGACATTTTGAAATCTACACTACCCCAAGATCCTTCCATGTGCACATAAGTTTCAACTTTTCTGGCACAGTGGTTCTTAAAAAGAAGATTTTTCCTATATATTTCTATGTAAAACTTTGATTCCCCATTGTGACCCAGCCCTTCCCCGGGGGTCATGATTTGAACAATCTAGAATCTATATTAGCCCAGGATGCTTCCACATAAGTTTCAGCTTTTCTGGCCCAGTGGTTCTTGAGAAAAAGATTTTCGAAGATTTTTCCTATATATTCCTTTGTAAAACTTTGATTCCCCATTGTGGCCCCGCCCTTCCCCCGGGGGTCATGATTTGAACAACTGAGAATATACACTACTCTAGGATGCTTCCACATCAGTTTCAGCTTTTCTGGCCCAGTGGTTCTTGAGAAGAAGATTTTCAAAGATTTTTCCTATATATTCCTTTGTAAAACTTTGATTCCCCATTGTGGCCCCGCCCTTTCCCCGGGGGTCATAATTTGAACAATTTAGAATCCACACTATACCAGGATGCTTCCATATAAGTTTCAGCTTTTCCTGCCCAGTGGTTCTTGAGAAGAAGATTTTTTAATGACCCCACCCTATTTTTGTCTTTTCTTGATTATCTCCCCTTGTAAGGAGAATTTGCCCTTTATTTTAACAATTTAAATTTCCCTTCACCCAAGGATGCTTTGTACCAAGTTTGGTCAAAATTGGCCCAGTGGTTCTTGAGAAGAAGTCAAAAATGTGAAAAATTTACAGACGGACAGACAGACAGACAGCAAGACAGACGGACGGACGGACGGACGAAGGACAAAATGTGATCAAAAAAGCTCACTTGAGCCTTCGGCTCAGGTGAGCTAAAAATAATAGTATGTGCGGATCTAGTAGGGGTCGAACGGAGGGGGGGGGGTACTTTACGAAGGGCGGTCGTGACAATAAGGAGTTATGGTCTAAAATTAAATTGCAAAAACCCAAAAACTTAAAAGAAATTCTTGTTCAAAATGCCATATGCTGCGAAAAATAAAATTAATATGGCTTTTATACACAAGTATTATTGCCATATCATAAATCCAGGGGGATGCC